ACATTTGAGGAGATACTCTGAGAAATTAATTGGCTGCAGGTTCCCCACCCCTCATAGCCCAATGTAAGTCATATACTGGGTAGTAATTAGCAGAGCCTATATCTAAACCCAGCCCCTCTGACTCCAAATCTTTCAAGTATTCATGTTAATAGGTAAGGGAAAACTTTCTCACAGGTATGCTATGACTAATTTATGTATGCTACTGGATGAAAATGGTTGAGAAGCACCAGTGAGTCTTCTGTGTCAAAACAGCTACCAAGAACAAAAAGGTCAGCTTAATTTCAATTGCTAACTGCCTAACTACATTGTTTACACAATCAGAACTGGAGGTGAAAATCGAGATCAGACAAGGAGTATGAAAGAATGGTAGAGGCCTGACGGGTGCAGATGGCCCTGACTCCAATCCTTCAGGGGATCAAGTGAGTAGCTGGAGGTGGGGAGGTGATTACTGGATGGGGCAGTGGCCTAATTTGCTAGCCTTGTTTAGAAGGGCTTAATTCAGAGGAATCAAAAAAATGAAGCTGATAATCGAAAAAAGCAAGCTTCCTCCCCGAAAAATAACAGTGATTCCCAAGGTATCAGCAAATTAGCAATGCTATGACCTAACATCACTCAGACTAAGGTTGAATGAATTGTAGGGGGAAAAAAATCAAAAGCAACCTAAAAACAAAAGCAGAAGCATACTTTTGTTAGACTGTTACGATGTTGGTAATAAATTAGTCGTAGAATATCTATGAGAAAGTTTTCCCTTAACTATTAATATGGATACCGGAAAGATTTTAAGTCCTGGGCTTAGATGTAGGCTCTGCTAACTACTATCTTGTAAATAGCTTTTGGTGACTAGTCAGTTAATCTCAAATGTAAAAGGTGGGGATTGAATGACATGCCTTTAGAGTTCCTTCCACCTCTGTATTTAAGTGTTAACTCAAAGCCAGACTTCATATTAAATATAGTCCCTCTCATAAAAACAATGCACAAAAAAGAAAAATGACACCTTGAATACATCATCTTATTAAATACCTCCCCCACCCTATTTCTGTCTTGTCAGATATACGGCTAAGGCATAGTTTAAAATGTTCATGTGTGTATGTTTTATTTTATAAATGAATGTTCAAACTAAAACTTTAAAATGTTACAAGGCAGAGAAGATGGGGCATTTTTTATGTTCTCAAAAATCTCATTTTATCATGTAATAATCACATTTCATACTTAACAATGTGCTGTTTCCTGCCTGATTTACAGAGAAAGCTTCCCTCCGTAGAACAGCCTTGTTCTCCTATTTCTTAATATAAAATACTAACACATGAAGAAACAGGGACAAAGTCCGAACTTAGACCCACTTGGAAAGTGACGTCTCTCTAAGGTGATAGAGGGCTTATTCTGAATTTAACTTTCACAAAACAGATTGCAGCAACATCTGCCTTTAAACAGAGTGTGTGAGTCCTTGGTAACCATAGGGCACTAGCACATAGTGCTTTGGCTGTTTGTTGCCTTGACCTAAGGCTTTTGGAATAGGCTTCATAGTATGCTTTATTCTCTAGTTTACTAAGGATGCAGAAAGCAATAGGACGTTTTGGGCCTCTTGTGATTAAACTGAGAAATAAGCCTCACTAAACAATAATGCAGTAATCTGTAATTTTGTCATTATTAGTGTTGTTCTTCAGTCATATCTGACTCTTTGTGATCTCATTTGGAGTTTTCTTGGCAAAGATACTGGAGTGGTTTGTCATTTCCTTCTCCAGTTCATTTTACAAATGAGGAAGCTGAGGCAAACAGAGATAAATGACTTGCCCAAGGTCATATAGCTAGTAAATGTCTGAGGCTGGCTTTGAACTCAGGGAGATGAGTCCTCCTAACTCCAAGCCTAGCCCTCTGTCTACTGTACCATATCAATGCCCTGTATTAATAGTCCCTCTGTTGATTCAATCACTGTCCCTTGTAGCTAATAGTACTCAAACTTGCTGTGGCCAACCTAATAAAAAGCTTTTCCCAGCTTAGTCTGCTTTTCAGACAACAGGCATGTTTGATAATCCATCACCAGAATCACAGTCAAATCCTTTCAGTTTGGTAGAACTTGTATTTATCATCCATGTACATTTCAGGGTCACATCAGGTCTTAGTGAGGCCTCAGGCAAAACTCAAGTATAAGTTAAAATGAAATATGTAACATTAAGGAAAAAGCATTACATTTTAATTGTGTCATGAGAGAGCTTAGAACATTAGGGTATTTGTTGGGAAGGCAGGGAATGCTAAACTGAGCTTTTCCATGAATTCTGAGTAAATTATAAACCTCTAACCAGCAAACAAGGTAACATGGCACAGTATTTGGGGGAAGTCAGAGACGCTTGAATAATAAGCTTTTCCTAGCCTTCTAAAATAGTTGTAAGCCCTTAGACAGCAAACAAGCCAAGATAGTGGATAGAGTACTGGACCTGGAGTCAGAAAGACCTAGTCTAGGTTCAGATAGAAAGGTGATGTGATGGGTCTGTACTTGGGCCTCTAAGGTCCATTTTCAGCTCTAAAGCTATGAACTTATAAATTCATACCTTGGTTAACAGAGCTAAGGAAACAAGATTGATAAGAGTTCTGCATGAATCTAAACCTTCTATAGTTCATGTTTGGAATATTCAAATGGCACTTTTTCTAGGAAATGGGAATCCAGATGTTTCCATTTTAAAATATTATGCTTGAGGCACTGAAATTAAATGACTTGTTTAAAATCATACATAATTGTGGCCAACTCAGAATCAGAGCCTGTGTTTTCTCTGGTCCTTTTCACTCTGTCCATGTGAACAGTTCTGCCAATCACCAGATTTCTGATCTTGAATTATTTAACCTCTCTAGATCTCTTAGTTTCCTTGTCTATAAATGAAAGAGTTGCTCTTTTCAACACTAAAATTCCATGAGTCTAATAATTCCTCCTACTTGGGAGAAACGTACAAAGCATAACAATACCTTAGTATATACTTTTAATGAACATTTTTAGAATGCAGGCCGACTTGTGGCATAATGAAAGAGCTCTTATACTGGCAGTCAGGAGAACTGGGTTCTAATCTTAGTTCTTTCACTCATAAGCTACATGGCCTTAGCCAAGTCATTTCATATCTCCGAGCTTCAGTTTTCTCGTAAGTAAAATAGACATAATTGGGACCTCCTTCCAGCTCTTTATATTTTATGCTTTAAATGTTTGAGGGAAAATGAAAATTCCTGTTAGTTATTTTTTTCTCTGACATGGTTGAACCTGTTGCTTTACTACCAAAATATACAAGAAACTCCTACTGAATTTAAAGTGCTAGATCTAAATTAACCTTTTGTGGTAGGAGGAGAAATGAAAAAGAGAATGAGTGATCACATTCAGTTACAATGAGGGAAAAGAATGATGTACTTTCCAGAGATAAAGCTGTCTAGTCATCAGTGCTTCTTAACCATTTTCATCCTGTAGCATATATAAATGGGTCATAGCATACCTGTAAGGAGATCTTCCCTTACCTATTAATAAAAATAGGAAAGATCTGGAGTGAAAGGACAGACCTGAGATTAAATATCCAAGCACTACTGCTTAATTACATGAGAGTTAGAAGACCCAGCCTGAAGAATTCTAGCCCAATCAATTCAATTCTTAGTCCTTTCTTTTCTTTTCTAATGGGTTTTATTGATATCTTTTGTTTTTATCTCAGTCATTTCCCGCTCACCCCACCCCCAGACTAAACCTTGGCCCTATGGCCAAGAAAAACAAGCAAAAACATCTACTACCAAAAACTTGGTCTGCCAATGTAAACAACATTCTCCTGTAGTAGTCTCCACTACCACCACTACAGACTTCTCTACCCTAAGGGAGGAGTTATGTTTCAATATCTCTTCTCCAGGATCTTCATTGGTTTTATTAGGCAAGCTTCTTCTCAGTAATTTTTTCATTTATGTTGTTGTAGTCATTGTGTTTATTGTTCTCTTGGTTCTGCATATTTCACTTTGTATGAATTTATTCAGAAATTTACGTGTATTTCTAAATTTCCATATTCACATTTCTTATTGCACAATTAATACTTCACTACATTGATATATCATAATTTTACCAGCCTTCCCCAATCAGTAGGTACCTACTTTTGTTTCCATTTCATTTTTACCACCAAAAAAAAAAATGCCACCATGAATATTTTAATATGTATTGTAACTTTTTTAGGTTTTTGTTTTCTTGGGGTATATGCCTAGTGGTTAGATTTCTGGGTCATATGGTATAAACAGTTCAGCAACTTTTGTTGTAGAATCCCAAACTGAAATCCAGAATGCTTGGATGTACTTTCTTTTCCACACCCACTTTTATTTCAGGGACATTAATACCTTAAACTGTTAGCTACATATGGAGGTTTCCCAAGAATTAGATACTTCAGTTCTTCATGATCTTACCCCATACTTTTCCCCTCTGATTCTTGGATTTCCTAATCTTTTTTATTTTTATTTTTGGAGACTGAGTTTTTCCTGGGGGAAAAATATCCTTTTTGTGAAAAAATGTGGGCTATTAATTACTCCTAAAATGGTTTGACTTTGATTTAAAATTTAAAGGTTACTAAAATGACTGTGGTTTCTGGCACTAACTTAATAAAATTAGACTAATTCACTTTATTTTTAACTCAAAGTAAATCGTTAAAGTATGAGGTTAAATCGCCATCAGTCACCATCATTCTTTTGTAGTTTGTTTTTTAACCTGTTTTCAGGGACTGGGGGTGCTGGGTGCTGGATTTTAGTTATGAGTTAGTTGTGAACTTTAGTTGATGATTTTGTATACTGTGCCAAAACAAAAATTTATCGGTAACAAAAAAGTGGCTATTTAAACTGACAAATGGGGAGAGGGAAAAGAAGGATTTGCAGGGATTTTTAATTAACACAAACTGCTAGGGCCTGTTTTCAAGTCTAAAGCAAAGTATAAATCACCTAATCTTCAGAACATCAACGTAACTTGGCAAAACTTTAGCCTGGTGCAGAGCCAGAGAAAAGAGCCTCACCTGCTACACCATTATCCAGACTTCCCTTAGTACTTGAATTTTCCATTCGAGTCTGCTCCTTACAAGCCCTGCGACACATGAAAATGTTGCTGTGATCACGTCCAATACCCTGGCACTTCCCTTGTACTGTAAAGATGTTTACAATGTCAAAGAGGAAAGACTTCAGAATGTTGGGCAGCTCAAGTCAAGAATCAGTCAGGGTGGGAAGATATGGATGGGTTAGACTAGGAGGTCATCTTATTGATGATATCAGGATCTGTTCAAGTACTATAGTCTATTTCAAAACTTCAAACCATTCTCAAAATAGGTCCTAAAAGTATTAAAAAAAAAAACATTGCAAATGACAGCCATTCTTACCACACTCACAAGTGGACCTCTGCCCAATGCAGGAGAGCCTGGAACATCTAGGAAAGATTAAGAAAAAGTGAGCTGCCTTTGGGAAAACGATCTTCCTTTGAGTTATAATGTTCTTTATAATTCTTTTGCAATTGAGCCTGTGATTTTATGGGTATCAGAAGCTAACAGGTAGGGAACTCCTTTGACTAGTCTACCAGTGCAGACCAGTGCCTGTTCTGCAACTCAGTCTTAAATTGTTTCTTGGGGCACCGAGAGGAGTAGTAGTAGAGTAGTAGTAGTAGCAGCAGCAGCAGTAGTAACAACTAGCATTTGCATAGCACTTTAAGAGTTGCAAAGCACTGCACAAATATTATCTCAGTTTATCCTTATAACAACCCTCGGTGCTATTATTATCCCAATTTAACAGATGAGGAAACTGGGAAGTTAAATGACTTGCCCAGGGTTCTCGCAGCTAGTACAGTGCCTGAAGCTGGATTTGAACTGAGGCCTTTCTGACTCCATGTCCAATACTCTATGTTCAGTGCACCATATAGCTGCCTCAAACAGATCTTCTTGACTCTAAGGATTATGTCCCACCGCCATTATTTATCATATGAAGATATATTCCTACAGTATCATGTTTTATGTTAGCGTTGATGAGAATATCTTAGTTTTCATTCAACAGATTGATACAGTTATTTTCCAGAAATCTCAAAGTAACAGAATCATAGAATATCAGCGAGGAAGGAAAGAAGAATTCATTAAGCACCTACTACTATAGTGCCAGCCGATATGCTAGACTCTGAGTGTTCAGAGACAAAAACGAACCCATTCCTGGTCTCAAGGAGCTCATGTTCTTTTGGGGGAGAGAACATATACACATGTAAGTATATACACACATAAGTGTGTATATATGTGTGTGTGTGTGTCTACATGTTCATATATGTGTATGTATACGTACCTATTCCTACACATACAATACAAGACAGTTTGTGCAGAGGCGCTTCTAGAAGCTGGAAGTACCAGAGGAAAAACAACATGAAGGAGGTGGCTCACGTGCTGAGCTTTGAAGGAGACTAGGGATTCTATGAGGCAGAGGTACATTACAGGCGTGGGGGACAGTCTGGAATGCCATGGGCATGGGCAATAGAATGTCATGTGTGAAGAACAACACAGGACAGTTTGGACTATGGCATATGAAGCATAGCAATGGGGAATAAGCATGGAATGATATTTTGGGGTCAGACTGGGAAGGGCTTTAAATGACTGAAGGGTTTGTACTTATTCACAGAGGCAGTAGAGGGCCACTGGAAATTTCTGAAACTTCTGGAAGAGATCTTAGAGGTCACTTGCTCCAACCTATCCCCAAAAAGGATCCCCCAATTAAAATATAGACAAGTCATCATTCATCTGCTTGGTCAGATAACTAAATGGCATAGTGGATAGAACACTTGGCCTGGACTCAGGAAGACCTGAATTCAAATCCAGCCTCAGATACTTACTAGATGTGTGACCCTGGGCAAGTCACTTAACCTCTGTTTGCCTCAGTTTCTTCAACTGTAAAATGGAAATAAAAACCGCACCCACCTTGCAGGATTGTTGTAAATATCAAATGAAAATCTGTTTGTAAAGTACTTAGCAGAGTACCTGGTATGTAGTAATCACCACATAAGTGCTTATTCCATTGTCCTTCCCTTCCCTTCCCATCTACTTGAAGATCTCCAGTGAGGAGGAACCCTTTACTTCTAGAGGCAACCCATTTCACTTTTGTGCAACTCTAATATTAAGCCTTAAATTTGCCCCCCTGTCATTTTTCTTGGGTTTGCCCTCTAAGGCTAAACAGAAGAAATGTAATCCCTCAACCGTGTGACAGCCCCTCAAATACTAGCATATAGCTCCCTTAACTCTTCTCTTTTCCTTTGTTTCTCTAACTTTTGCTACTACCCTGATTGCCCTATTCTGGATACCTTATTGTTTATCAATGTCTTGCTTAAATTGTGGCTGCCAGAACTGGACACAGTGTTCCAGAAATTATTTAAGCACAGCATTGTACAGAGGGGCTAACACCTACCAATTCTGGGAAGCCATGCCTCTCAATGCAGCCTCAGACAACGTTCACTTTTTTGGCTACCACATCACACCGCCGATTCAGATTAAGCTTATTGTCCACCAAAATTCTCATATTGTTTCCAAACAAATTGCTGTCTAACTATGCCTGCCCCTTCCTGCACTAATTTTCAAAACTAAGTGTAAGGCATTTTCATATTTCTCCCCATCAAGTTTCATCTTATTAAATTAAGCCCAGTATTCTAAGATCTTTTTGAAACGTGTCAGCCAGTATGTTAACTATGCCTCCCAGCTTTGTGTTATTTGTAGATTTGATAAAACATTCCATATCTGTACCTTTATCCAAGCCACTGATAAGTATGCTAAATAGCACAGAGCCATACTTCAGATGCCTGGAGCTGCCAGGCTGACCTTAAATCATAAAGGACTGACTACTCTTTGAGTCCAGGTCACTGAACAGCAATCCAGTGAAATCTGCATTTCCAGCCTGGGCTGCTTTGTGAATTTGAAAATTACCAATTTGAGTACTGGTTGCCCAGTAGGATATAATTCCCTAATAGCTTCACAGAGGAGAAGAGTACCACCATCAGGAGGATTCTGCCTCTGAAAGGACCATGGGGTCATTCCTGGCTATCTAGAAGATCTGGACCTTTTCAGATGCTCAAACAGTCTAGATTTGAAGTGAATGTGAAATAGCTGTTCAGTGATCCTATAAAATTGTCTTTATCTCCCTGGCAATTATAATGGGTGATTTTTATTAGTGATATGATATGTCAGAATCAGGCAAGAAGAGCCTGATTCTCACCTTTTTGGGGTCAGGACACTTCCAGGACGAATCTAGCCTCTACGAATGCCAGAGCCCAAGCCTTTTTGGGAAAAGCCTCTCCCACCCTGGTCCACAGGTACCAAATTTGCTCTGCTAAAATCTAGGTAAACTGATCTGCTGCATTCCTCTGAGCTAGCAATCTAGTAACTACAGCAACAACAAAAGGAAATAAAATTTGTCTGGCATGACCTCTTCTTGATAAAGCTATACCGATGCTTGGTAACCACAGCTTCTCCTTCATTTTGACTAGCCGGCATCCCCTGTTTCTCTTCCCTTCCATAGCCAAACTTCTAGAAAAAGCAACTTTAACTTTTTTTTTTTGCTTTAAAAAAAAAAAAGGAAACCACCTATTGCTCTGCTTACATGTCGCTCACTCTTCAACTCTTTGCAATCTGGCCTGTGACCTCATCGCTGAACAGAAACTGCCCTCTCCAGAGTTATCATTGATCTCAACTGCCAAATCTTTTCTCAGTCCTCATCCTTCTTGATCTCTTTTCTGCATTGAACACTGTTGACCACCCTGCCAAATACTGAATGCTGTCTCCTCCTTGAGTTTTCATGACACAGCTCTTGATTCCCTTTCTATCTTCCTGTGCCTTTGCTCAGTTTCCTTTGCTAGCTCACCATCCACATCATTTCATGTGACTATATGTGCACTTCAAGACTTTGTTCCAGACCTTTCTTTCCCCCTCTCTCAGTACTTTCTGTGTGAGTTCATCAGCCCCCATGGGTTTGTTGCACCAATGTTGGGAGTTCTGCTGCTCAAGAGTTCACCAGTTGATGATGTCTTTGAACTTAAATTTCTGGGACTGTTTTTAGAAGATTTTGGGAGAGAGAAGTTGGAAATAGCAGGCCTACCAATCAGGGAAGAAGAAGGCAGGGTCAATTGGGGCTGATCCTTTGCTACCAAATTAGTGGACACTGGGAATCAAAAGCTGAGGAGCAAATGTCAGCTTTATTAACTCCCCAACTCCCTTCTCTTTCAGACTAAGGCTGATGAACATGCCGGTAAGATCTTAGGAAAGCCGGGGAAGCTGTTAATTTTTCCTCACTTATCTGTTAAAGCAGGCCTGCCTTAAAGCTCATGTACTAGAAGCAGTATCTAAGTTCTTGCCATGTAGGCTAGGCTAATTTTTACCTAAAAGGCAATGAAACCATCCTTGATATTTTATTGGTCCAGGGAACTAAGGCTTGAATTACTGACGTAGCTTTCTGGTCGCAATAAAAGTTAAGTGCGTGAAGAGTCAAGGACTCTTAAAAGCTGGAACTATGCTTCTAACTAGGCACACTGTCATGGCAAAGACGGAGGTAGAAGAACTATGACTAACCAGATCAATGCTGGATCCTTGCTAAATATCCTTTCCATGCTTTTGTGAAGTAAACTGCCTTTATTAAATGTTAAAAGGTCTAGCAAGTATCTCATTTTGTTCCTATCCTGAGCGTCATCCACTGGATCCATCCTGAACTGGGCCTGGTCCAGAATAGCTCATGTCCCTATTAAACTGGTAGATGGTTTTTTTCATCCTTGGGAGTACTGGACTCAAGAAGAAGCTGTTTCTGTCTCTGCAGCTGGCAGCTCCACTACTGGTTTATTCCTATCCAAATGAACTATCCCTCTTTTCTCCCATTTTCCCCCCTCCCCCAATTGTTCGTTATCCTTTTATTGCTGTTGTTTTACTCTATTTTTTAAGTAAAAGGCAATTTGATGACTACTAATCCTTGTGTTTGTGATTAATGCTGACACAAACAGAGATTTGGGAAAAAGTCTGGCCTTCGATGAGGCTGAGCCAGGTGGGAAAAGGAGCAGACAGTAACTCTATCTACCTCAATGATCCTGTCAGTTTTTTGCATTTCCTCTTTCTCGCAATGTGGCTTTAAAAAAAACAAACAAACCAAGCTAACTCTTCTCTTCACCTTTGCTCATCACCCTCAGCTCATTCTGAGTTTTAGTGTTCATGACACTAGTGCCTGTAATCTTGGCTGCAGAGAGAGGCTGAAGCTTGGTGGTTTGCTTGAGCTAAGGGAGTTCGGAGCTGCAGCAGGGCTAAAGCCTAATCAGGTGTCCCTACTAAGTCTTACACTTGTAGGGTTACCCAGGGGGCCACCCAAGCTACATAAGAAGGGCATTAGGGCCCTGGACCAGGTCAGAAACAGAGCAGGTCAAAGCTACTCTGC